GGCGGGCAGGCGGCGTACCTTGACGGTGCTGACCAGCTGCCCGTCGATGTACAGCGTGGCCGTGCTGTTCTTCAGCATGCCCTTGCTCATCACCAGGGCCAGGTGGTGCCACTGCCCCTCCACAATCAGCTCTCCGCATCGAAAGCGGGCACAGCAGGGCAGAATCTCATAAAAAGAGGATTCTTCACTAAAATCATCAACTAGAACAACAGAGGAGAGGTGTAAATACTTGTGTCAGTCCCACCCCATTCCGATAGCTATTCGCACACCCATTAGCACGTTTCCACTTTCTGTTAAAACACATGAGGCAAAGGAGCATGGCCTACTCATGCAATGTTTATCAGTTGTCAGAATAGAACCTACATGCATGCTTTTATCTGCTCCAGCCAGACACACAGAGTTATGATCAGAGAAAGTTTCAATAGCTAAAGTAAAAAAAAAATAGTCAATACAATAAAATAACGTGACGATAAACAATGTAAGAGACTAGTTGACATCAAAACCAGGAATAAATGAGTGGACCTATATTAAGCTGAAAAGCTTCTGCACAGCAAGGCAACAAGGTTCACGGGAAAAGGTAACCTATGGAATGAAGAAATAGATGCAACCATGTATCTCATAGGGGTGATTTACCGTGTGTGTGCACATGTGTATGTGTGTGTGTGTGTGTGTGTGTGTGTGTGTGTGTGAGACTCAAAAATTCAACAGCAAAGAAATTAACATCCCTATTAGAAAAAGGGCTAAAGACTAGAATAGATATATGAGGTGTGAATGAAATATACAGCAAATGTTTAAATTTTAAAAATTATCATACTGAAGACACACTGCAATGCATTCCCCTCAGAATCCTTCCCCTCACTTTGCACACACTCATCCCATCATGCTGGCCACTCTCTGAAGCAGTTCTGGAAGCCCTCTTTTGTAGGTGTCTTTACCAGTTGTTAAAAAAAAGGTGCTGAATGCTGCCGCCCGTGCCATCCACTGGAAAAGCCGGCTTCTAAAAACACCATGGTGTGTCCTTGCCCATCTTATCCAACAGATCTGGCACTGTGCCACTTCTGGTTCTTCCACGAAGTCCAGAGGACCGTGAAAAGCAAATACTTTGAAGCAATGCAGGACAAGGAGGCAGCCATGACAGTGCATTGAAAGGCATGAAAGAGCCTTGCAGAGCTGCTGCAGAGAGCACCAAGAGCAATGGGACGTGTGTTGGAAGCAAGGGGCAGTGCTTTAATGGCAATGTGCATTTTGCTATATTAAAAATTTAAACCTTTACCGTGTCTCTCTATCCTACTATATATCTCCTAGATACACAAACGTATGTAAAGCCTGGATCAACATCAGTAATCCGGAAACAGAACCAAAACCACAGTGGGGTACAGTGCACCCCTCACACCTGACAGAACGGTGACTACCACAAAACCAAATGAGTGTTGGCAAGAATGTCAAGCAATCAGAACCCCGCGCTCTCGGGGTGGAAAGAAAAATGGTTTACTGCATGATAAATAAAACAGCACGGAGGCTGCTCGCGAGCTGAAAATGGAACTACCACATAATTCAACAATCCCATTTCCGAGTATGTATTCACAAGAGCTGAAAGCATAATCCTTTTTTTTTTGGAGACAGGGTCTCGCTCTGCAGTTTAGCTGAAATCAAGATAGGGTCAGCCTTGGGAACTCTGAGGGACACCCTCAGGAACTCCGGTGAGCTGCTGCTGCCTCCACACACACGAGCTTGGGACCAGGCAGAAACCTGGACAGATTTAGGGGGCCAGGGTCCACTCTCCACTCCTCCCTTCCCCTCCCTTCCCCTCCCTTCCCCCGTCAGAGCTGAGCTGCACCTCGGACAGCTTCAAGAACTCGGGTGAGCTGGCTCCACCTCTGCCCCATCAGCTCAGGAGCCAAGGGGAGCCCCAGACAACCTCAAGGGCCTTGGGTGCTCCTCCCTGCCCACACTCCACACCATCAGGGGAGCTAAGCTGAAACTCAGACAGCTTCAGGGGCCTCACTGACTGCCCACTTACCCCCCCTACTGCTGTGGAACGGGGCAGGGTAGAGGCAGTGTATAGAGACATGGTGACCACGATCCACCCACTACCACATCCCAGTGGAAACAGGGCTGAAACCTGGACAGCCTTGGAAACCCCTGAGTGGGAGCTAAGCTGAGCCACAGACAGCTGTGGGAGCACTGGGGATCGCACCCTGCCCGTACATGCACACCATGGAGGGAGTCACACCAAGCACCGTAGACCTTTGGGTCCTTGCCCTGCTACTATGACATCATCCTAGGAGTGAGGCTGAGCTCCAGGGAACCTCTGCATCTCTGAAAATGACAAAACAAAGGAACAAAATGCAATCTCAGACCTCTACCTCACCCAGAACAAGTTCAGGAGATATCGACACATGCGAGCTTGGAAGTCATACAACTGAAATTTCTGAAATGATAGCAGCTGAAGTAAAGAAACAATTCCATTAGACCATAGATGGTATCAGACCAGAAATAATGTCTGAGGTAAGAAAAGAAATGACAACAATAATGGAAGAATTGCTTAACATATCTAAAGAAGACAGAAAAAAAAATAGATGAGCATAGTAAATTATTTGTTTGTTTGTTTTTGGTTTTTCTCGGGTACCAGGAACCGAACTCATGACCTTGCGCTTGCCAGGCAGGCGCTTTTTGCCGCTGAGCTAAATCCCCAGCCCCTGAGCATAGTAAATTAATTGAAACCTTGAACGAACAGTATAGAAAGAACTGGAATGCATAAAACAGATTCAAACAAATATCTAGGAAATTACAAATTCCATCAAAAGCTGGCAAAACTGCTTGAACAAAGCTGAAGATAGACTTTCAGACCTTGAAGACAGCACTTCTGTGAATGACCAGGAAAGAAAGGATCTCTTAAAAATAACAAGAAACCAAGAAATAACAAGTCAACAGCTGCAAGATGAAGCAAAAACAAAACAAAAGAAACCAATGTAAGATTAATAGGTATAAATGAAACAGAAGGTGTCAGCACAAATGACATAAAAACACTATTTATGGAAGTAATAGCAAAAAATTTTCCAAGCATGGAAAAAAAACTGGACATCTGGGTAAGTGAAGCATATAGAACTCCAACTAGCCATAACCAAAATAAATCTACACCCAGACATATAGTGATCAAGATCCCAGAAATTCAACAAAAGAACAGAATATTAAAAGCTGTTAGAGAAAAAAAACAGATCACCTATAAAGGAAAGCCCATCACAATAACAGCAGATTTCTCAACAGAAACCATCAAGTCAAGAAGAGCTTGGAGTGAAATATTTCAGGTCCTGAAAGAAAACATCTTCCAACTCAGTTTGATGTATCCTGAAAAACTATCCTTCAAAATGAATGGAGGAATAAAATATTTCCACGCTAAAGATCAACTGAAGAACTTCATGAGCACCAAACCAACCCTACAAAGAGTTCTAAAAGATAGTCTAGAAAGAGACAAAAAAAAACCCACAATTTTAAGAACAACAACAGAAAGGAAACACCAAGCAGAGCAAGCAATTAAACAGAGGGAAACAAGAGGAACCAATAGCAGGAAAACAACATGACAAAGATAAGCCAATACATATCAGGTATAACCGTCAATGTAAATGGACTCAATTCACCAACCAAAAGAAGAAGACTGGCAGATTGGATCAAGAAACAAAATCCAACAATATGCTGTGTACAAGACACACATTTAACTCAAAAGGAAATTCACAGACTGAAAATTAAAGGATGGAAAACAATATTCCATGTGGCAGGTACCCAGAAAAAAGTGGATGTCGCTATTCTGTTTGCAGACAATGGGAACTTCAAACCAAGAACAATTAAAAGAGATAAAGAAGGTCACTACATACTTGTGAGAGGAAAACTTCAAAAGGAAGAGATAACAATCATAAACATCTATGCACCAAACATAGGAGCACCCAACTATATAAGACAAACTTTATCAGACATGAAAAATGAAATAAGCAGCACTACAATAACAGGGGACTTCAATATACCACTGTCACAAGGAGATAGATCAACTAGACAAAAAATTAGCAAAGAAATAACAGAACTAAACCAAACATGTGAAAAATTGGACTTAGTAGATCAGTACAGAATGTTCCACCCAACAGCATCAGAATACACATTCTTCTCAGCTGCACATGGGACATTCTCTAAAATACACCATATGCGAGCACACAGAACATGCTTAAGGAAATGCAAAGGAGTTGAAATTATCTCATGCATACTATCAGACCATAGTGCAATGAAATTGGAAATTAATGACAAAGGAAATTGTAAGAACTTCATAAACACATGGAAATTAAACAGCACCCTCCTGAACAATCAATGGGTCACAGATGAAATCAAAGAAGAAATTAAACACTATGTACAATCAAACAAAAGTTTGGACACAACTTACAGGAACCTGTGGGATGCAATGAAAGCACTCTTCAGAGGGAAATTTATAGCAGTGAATTCCTACCTCAGGAAAACAGAACAAGCACAAATAAACAATCTTATGCTGCACCTCAAGCTTCTAGAAAAAGAAAAACAAATCAAACCAAAACCCCAGAGAAGGCAGGAATTATAAAGCTCAGGGCAGAAAGTAATACAATGGAGACTAAAAAAACAATAAAAAGAATTAATGAATTGAACAGTTGGTTCTTTGGAAAAATAAATAAAATTGATAAACCCCTAGCCAACCTTATTTTTAAAAAAGGAAAGAAAAAACTGAAATACACGCAATAAGGAATGAAAGGGGTGAAATCACTACAGATTCTGTAGAAATTCAGAAGATCATCAGTACCTACTTTGAAAATCTTTACTCTCATAGGATGGAAAACACAGAGGAAATGGACAGATTTCTAGAAACATATGAATTACCAAAGCTGAATGAAAAAAATATAAAAATCCTGAATAACCCTGTATCAGCAAGTAAAATTGCAAATGTAATAAAAAACTTGCCAATGAAGAAAAGCCCAGGTCCTGATGTATTTATAGCTGAATTCTACAAGAAATTTGGAGATTTAATGCCAGTACTTCTCAAACTCTTCAAGGAAATTGAAAAGGAAGTAATTCTCCCCAACTTATTACTGGAGGCAAGTATTATCCTGATACCAAAACCAGAGAAAGACCCAACCAAAAAAGAGAACTACAAGCCAATCTCCCTAATGAACATAGATGCAAAAAATCT